GAAAGGAGAGATCAAGGTGAGCACACTAGGTTTCAAGATGCCGCAAATAAAAAAAAAATAATAATAATAAAAAAAGATAAGAAATAAGGAAATAAATAAATAAGTAAATAAGTGGGTGAAGAGGTAGGGAGAAATGAAGTATCTGATTTGTCAAAAATTTCGGCGGCATTTCGTTACCCCCATGGGGTCGAAGTGTGCCGAGAAGACCAAGCGGAAGAAAAAATATAAAATTTCGGCAGCACTTCGTTACCCCCACGGGGTCAAAACGTGTGCCGAAAGTAGTAAAGACTAACACCTAATCAGTTTTAAGATTGCCGTAAAGAAAATTGAATTTTCAGAATAAATAAAAAAATAAATAAAATAAATCAGAAAAATAAGAAAAAAAGGTGGGGAAGAAGATAATTCGAATTTTGGGAAAAAAGCAAAAATATAAATCAAAAGGGAGATAGAAAAAAAGAAAAAACAGAAAAATTTGAAGTAGAGGAGAAGGGGGGATGAAAAAATGATGGAGAGAAGAAAGAAATAGGTGGGAGAGGGAAAAAGATGGAAGTGGAAGGTGGGGGGATGATGTGGTGGCAGTTGGGGGAGAAGAGGGTGAGAGAATGGGAGAGAAAGAGGATGGGGAAAGATGGAGAGTGATCAAGAAACTAAGAGAAAAGAAGGAGGAGAGAAAAGAAAAGAAATGAAGAAAAGAGGGTAAGATAGTGGTTAGTGGGAGAAAAGGTGGGGTGGGGAGGGTAAAAAGAGGAGGGGAGAGAGGCAGTGGAAGGTGGGGGAAAGAAAAGGGGAGAGAGAGATGATACCTGGCCCTCGGTGTCTCCAAAGGCACAAGGTATACCAAGACCAGGAGGGTCTTGGCCTTCGCTGCAGCCAACCAACTGGACGATGTAGGGGAGGATGTAAGGGGGCTGAGATCTTAATCAGCCCTAGTTGCAGCACTGCAGATCCAGGGTGTGCTGTGTGAGCATACCCTGATGGATGACGATGATGATCTAGGGTTGGCTGAGATCTTGATCAGCCACCCTACTGCCACAGTCACACAGCCCCCTAGCCAGGGGGAAATCTTGAGCTGCTGCAAAGCTCCTGCTGCAGCAGTAGAGAGATAGTTAAAAAAATAATAATAATAATAATAATGATGTGGCGCAGCCCCCTAACCAGGGGGGTCTTCAGTCCACAGCAAAGTGCCATGTGGCACTGCAGGTGGCCACGTGCACAGGCAGCAGCAGCAGCCAAGGGGGGGGGGGGGGGGGGGGAGGGTAAATAGCAGCCTCTCCCATTGCTGCCTCGCTGGCCGCTGCTCGCTGCTCGCCGGCGGGGGTGAGGGGGGTAAATAGCCAGCACCGCTTCAACTTGAGGTTGCCGTGCTGCAAGGCCATACATAGACTTTGGCCAGTGTGTTATGAGGGTGGTACATGCATGCTTATGGCCAGCAGCTGCCTGGGTTCAAACCCCAGCGGCAGCATGCATTCCAGATCTTAATTAACATAATTTAGGAGCGGGGTGGGGCAGTGGGGCAGCGTGGGTGTGTGTGCGTGCAGCGGCCTTGGCCCTCGCGCTTGCTGCGCACGCGCTCGTAGTGGCACCTGCTTTTTTTGCCACGTGTCACCTCCTGCAGGCGCTCCTTTTTCCCTGAGGTTTCGCTGAAAAACACTTGAAAAACAGCAAAAAAAACCGCTGTCGGGTTTTGCTGTTTTCCTCAGCTGTACAGCTGTACGGGGTGGTGGGTGGGAGCGAGGAACGTTCCCGCTCCGATACCAATGTAGCGGACCCACCAGGTGTGGTGCTCCACTACTGATAGAGATGGAGATGGAGGAAGAAGGGGGGAGCAAGATGCACAGCGCAGCTCCCCACGCAAGACTCCATTGCACGTACTCCAAAATGTGCAAGTGTAGAATGAGGACGAAAACAGACAACTGCTGGGGTATACCCCAGCGGACTGACAGGACTGGACTGGACTGGCTGGCACCGACAGAGGTACCGGCCTGGCCTGGCCTGGACTGCCCCCGAATAGAACACAGGCCTGTGAGAACAGGCCAAGGGGCTGGTCTCACAGGCCAACCAGAGGTCCGCTACAGTGACCCACCCACCTCTCTCTCTCTCTCTCTCTCTCTCTCTCTCTCTCTCTCTCTCTCTCCCCCCCCCCCGTTCAGAACATTTGATTGGTCGTTAGTCCGTTCGGTACGGTAAGTGACATTTCATCACAGATTCATCACACGATAAGTAGTACACAGCTGAACAAGCAGCAAGTGACCAAATCCCATATATATTCAAGACGCAAGGCTTCCCCCCTTCCCCCCTTCCGCCCTTCCGCCCTTTTCAGACCCCCCGTCACAAGGCAGCTAAGACAAGGTCCCACTAGCAAAGAGGATTGGATTGAGCGCCTGAATCTGGACTTGTTTGTGGAAACGTGCAGAAAAATCGAGATCCAACTTCTTTTCTGCATCTCTGGTTAAAACACGTCCAGATTCAGGATATTTATCCAATACTCTTTGCTGGTGGGACCTCGCCCCTTCTGCCCTTTCAAAAGATGAAAAGACCAAATCATTTCCGAAATCCAAAGGTATCAGTAGAGGCTAAGATCATCGCACTGTTAACATTGGAACGATACAGAGAAAGAGAACATTAGCATGGCCCCTGCGCTTTCAAGGATGACACACATAAATCGAAGAATGGTCCAAATTACAACAACAAAAAAAAAAAAGATCATCACACTCTACCGGGAATTACTGACGAGGGCATACTCACATTTTTCTAAATGTATCTGACCGTAATCACTTCCAGAGCTGCTGAGTCGACCAAGTCCTAGTGTGACTCTGCCCTGAGAACATATGTCAGCTTCCGTTATGAACATAATATCACCAAGACCAACTAATAGTATCCGATCCAGAGGCAAATTAGAAAAAAAAAAAAGGAAACGAAGATTAGCATGGGCCCCTTCCCAAGTATGACACGCAAAATGAAGGGGAAAACGATTTCTGATTCTTCTGATTAGAACCACCAGTACTTGGCCCATACATGGGCCGCGTTAACGTGCCACTGCAAACGGGGGTCGCGCCCAGGCCAACGACCGGTCCGCCTTGGGCCCGGGAGCGAGGTCCCACTAGCAAAGAGGGTTGGATTAAGCTCCTGAATCTGGACGTGTTTTAAGCATAGATACAGAAAACCAGTTCAATCTCGATTTTCTGCACCTTTCCCCGAACGCATCCAGATTCAGGTGTTCGGTCCAATCCTCTTTGCTAGTGGGACCTCTTTTATTTTCTTTTTTTTTCCCTAAAAGCCCAGGGTGTTGTAGAGGCCAAGGACCAGACCCGCGGTGATTGCTAGTAGCGACAGCCAATGGTTGTCCTGACATGATAGGCCACCTACCCAACCCATCCCCACGTTAATACTCCCAGCGCACCCCCTGTCCCTACTATCCTACCTAAGTGTGACCAGCACTCAGGACCATCACCCTACCAGTATCAAGGGCAACTGGGACCGGACAGCCCTTGTTTCTTTGTTTTGAAAAGGGCAACGGTCTTGAGATATATCATCATGAAACTGACCGGCCCCATCAGCCCCCATGTAATACAGAATTACTTTTTCCCCCCCCCCAGAAAAAAAATAAAAAATAAAATAAAATTACTTTCTTCTGTTCATCCGGGCCCAGGTAATTTTAGAATTACGTTCTTCTGCCCATCTGATTGCATGTGGATTCGAACTTGGGTCTGATTCAGGGTGTACCAACGGAGTTACCGTCTTCACCCGAATAGAACGCCCGATCATTATCGCTGTATTTGGGGCAACTTCCAGTCCAGATACAGCGGTAATTACCGGGCGTTCTATTCGGGGGAAGACAGTAGGCAACGTCGGTGGCTGTCGCCCATTTTGCTTAACAAAAAGAAGGAAACAAGAAAAGAGGGGATTCCAAGAACAAAAAGAAGGAAATAAGAAAAGAGGGGATTCCAAAAAGAAGGGGGAAACGAAAAAAGCGAAAAAGAGAAATAAAAAAACATCAAAAAAAAACAGTAAATATTCCCAAAGCTGCAATCCAGCTTGCCGATATTCAACCCTGTTGGAAAAACCATATTAGTCAAGGGAACGATCCGTTTCTCTTTTATTATTCCCTTTTTTTTTTCCCTCTTCCTCCGCCTCCTTTTCTCATTCCTCCCCCCACCTTTTCTTATCCCACAACCCCCCCCCGTCCCCTCTATTTCCATTTACTGTAATACTGTAATAATTTGGCCCCTCGTTCTCATTGTCAAACCCTCTTTTATCTCTCCCCCCC